CCACCGATCCTCCAAATGGACATTCTCCTCAAAACAAATCTAGGAACAATTGTCCAACTGCAGTTGGTTAGAAATCTGAATTATCCGCGTGGAATTGCGGAGCAGGGGAATAACCGATATTTCCCTGGCAATTTCACAAACCTCGTTATTGACAAATCACATATTCAATTATGTCTCCCGTACTTTGGTACGTAATTACGATGGAAATAGTGTATGAACTCGGTTCGATTCTTCAGCGAAAATTGGAGGAAATGAGGAAAATTGATGATTGTTTTTCAAGCCCTGATTGCCACTCCTTTGTCGGGGATTTTTTTCGGAAATTGAACAATAGCTTTTGGAAATTGCATCAGGGGATTACCGTACAGTACCTATTGGCACGACAAGAAATTTACCTCTACAAACTGTAGTACTATTACTTTTACCCCGGATCAATAGAACTTTTTAATTTCGTGTACGGCATAGTATCCAATTTGTTAAACGATCCAATAATCTCTAAACCGATAAATTGAACAAGGAGATATCAAGAGGGTTGTTACAGAGGATAAAATTTTCATCTCCCAGCTAAGTCCCACTCCCTCCATAAATTCGCACCAGTGGTACAATCAATTGTGCCACAACCAAACAACACTATCCACCCCACAAAAATGAATTCTCCTCAGTACTTGAGCGTGTCAAGGCGGATCATATTTATTTCCCCCTGAGAATCGGATTTGGAAGAGGGACAAAGAAAAACGAGATAAATGATATATAGTTGGTCTTTAAATGGCCAAAAAGAACTTTAGGAAATTTAATTTCCGGCGAAGTAAGAGCCAAATGTATATAAAAAAATGTGAGAAATTTTTCGGAGGGAAATTGAATTTCGTTTAGGACATGTTTTTTTTTTTTTCAATGGAATAATGTGGATGAATGCGATGTAGCAATATCGAGAAAGCCATCTGAACGAAACGACAGGACATAAAGCTGTTTCATTCCCATTTACCTTTCAAAAAGCATTCGGTGGGGCCATTTTGGCTTGGGACAAGTCTCTACATACATATTTATGTATTGCTCTACATACTCTACACTCATATTTTTATTTAACTTGTTCTGGTTCCGCAGGTCAAGCCGACAGATGATGGTTAATTGACAGAGTAGATTATCAATAGGAATGGCAACGTATAGCTCAGTCTATTTGGGCATCTGGGGAGTGTTTATACTTATTTTAATTCAAGGTATACATTGTACTTCATACACGGAGAGAAATAAATAGTTTAAATTGTCTGAGATGTCAAAGTAGCCGAAATATTGTCACGGCATTTTTACAGTCGGAGCTTTTCCCACGAAACGTCAATTGTCATCCTTTCATCGGTCACTAATAAACAATATTGAATTCTACGGAATACTTTATTACTTCGGGAGTAATAGTAATTACTATGTGTCACTTTTCTGCTATTATTGCGTGTTACATTCTAGTGCCTCGTATTTTCCATAATTATGACTACTATAAAAACAAATAACGGATGTAATTATTGTGATAATTACTATTTTAATATAGTGATGCTAATAGGATTCGTTTTTCCTACGAAATAGTGATGACTGTTGGATGTGGTGGTTATTGCTGTGTCTACAGAAATAGTTACGAAACTTTGGATTATTTTATTATAACTATATTTTATTTGGCGTGGCAATTTTCGTTATTTTATTCTCTCCGCACAGGATTTACTGTCCATTGTGTGTATTTTTTAGAAATTGATTGACTGCTATTGAATTTTTTCTTTTTTTTTGCAGAATCAAGACCTGTCAGCTGGGATGAATGGTGGACGTACGATGGTATTTCAGGTAATCTGTGATTTGATTATTGCCGGAGGATTATTGGCTAGTCAAAAATTCAAGAGCTCCGACGGTTTTCAGAGTGATACGCTCCAGCAATCGATTTTTTATAATTCTCGATTTGTGGAACGAATTTTTTTAATTTAATTAAAGATGGGAGATCGTAAATAGATGAGAAATTGATGATTTTTCTAATTTTGTTAACCATCCCAAGTTCTTTTCTTTTTTTATGTGAGGATTCTGAAGATGGAAGCATTTTTCTCTCGAGAAATATTAAATTGCTATTAAGAAAAATTGGAAAGTCACCGATGGTTTCACTCAAAGAATTGTTCAAAGCTTGTAACCATCGCAATATTATTCTTTGAAAAAAATCAGAATATACAAATGATTTTGACAATTCACGTGATCTTTACTCTTCCGTTAAAAGAATTCTGCAGCTGAGGTAAAAGGAGAAACGTCAACTCTGAGTTTCTGATGAATATCCTGGAATCTCCAAGGGGTTGACGTATTTTTATGAAAATCTCTTTTCTACCGTGAAATGAGATCTTCTGGATACGTGTCTATAAAAAATTCTCAATCCGTTGGATTTTCCAATTTTTTGTAAAAATTCAAACAACAACAGTAACAATAATAACAACAATAATGTATAATATTCACTGAAAACTGTTTTGTTTAGTTATTGAATCAATTAGCGTTATTAATGATTTAATTGAGTACTTTGATAGTGAGATTTAATAATGAGGGGAAAATCCCCACATCTTTCGTACGCAAATATTTATATGCATTTCGTTGTATCGAGTAATTTTAGTTGATGAAAGTTAATGAATTTAGCAGAAGTAATTTATTTTGTCACTAGCGAAAGAGCGTTAGTCTTTATAGTCTGTAAAAAAACGACTTAAATCGAGGCGTTGAAATAATAAAATAGAGGAATGGTTGGCATTTAGCGCTATTCAATTTCATTTTTGCAATAAAGTTGGTTAAAAATGACACAACCTAGTGTGTTCCGTCATTTTGCTCTACTGGATTGATAAATGAAATATAACGAACACGCATCGTAAATCATATTGGATGTTCCGCACTGACGCAAAGCATTTTAACGACGAATAAAAATTGTCGAACCAAAAGTAGAATATTTTTTTTTCAATTAGACTTCTGTCGAATTTTTATTGCTATTTTTACGAGGATCATTTCATCC